ACTAGAGCCCTGTATTACTTGAGCGATACATATACTTGCGTTTGAAATTGTGACTTTACAAAATTGATATAAATATATAAATATGGGTTCATAAATTCTTGCATATTAAAAGTTGCATCAAGTTTTTGGCGTCATTGCCGAGGGTTTAAATCTTCTAGTAGTGGTGTCAAATTTTTGTATTTTTAGGTATATAAAAAGTCGCTGTCAGTTATGTTGTTTAAGTCTAAGGAAAGTTTTGTTGTTGTAGATCCACTTGTTGTTGTAGAATGCTGCCCTCGTAGCTAGCTTCAAGCTTCTCGTCGAAGTAGCAGTCCTAAAGTCTAAGGTTCAAATGTTTAAATGACAAGTTCATTTCAATCATTATATGGGGGTTAAAGTTGATTAGAGCGACACCGAGTATGATCTCACGGTTCCCTCGTTCGGGTATCACTATTTTATTTTGAGTTTACTTAACTTAAATTTAAATTAGAGAGATCTCGTTAGCAACTGTGAGTTACCTCATCCGAAGGACTCTCGTAAATTCAAAAGGATGTTTAATTGTATTTTAAAGGATTTATGGTTACCTTTGAAAGAGTTTAATTTAATTTTGAAAATTGTTTTAATTTTGAAAAATTTTTCATTTTATCAGTCAAGCATGCAAGATATGTAGAAGCAGTAACAAATTGCAGTTAATGAAATGACAGAAGGTAAATAAAACTGTAAATGCGTACCTGTCATCTTGATGCTGCTCCGCTGAAATGTTTGAACTTGCAACATATATATATATATATATATATTGTAGGAATGGAAAATAAGAGGACCAGTTGAAGGCATATCTTTCAAACCCCAAGTCATAACTTGGTGGGTCCTTAAAGGTTTTAATGGATGATTTTATTGAAAAAAGTATAATAAGTTTAATTATGCTGCAAAATATCCAAAAAATCTTAAGAGTATTCAGAGGATTACCCCAAACGACCTTTAGAATTCTTTCGAATGTTTCGAGTTCATTTGAGCATATTATATTGTTCATATAATCATCTGAAGTTAAATTTAGGGTTTGATTGGTTAACTACCCATGCTCAATGAACCTTAATATTTTAATTATCTCATAAGAGGGGTACTTAATTATTCATTTAATGTTTCATTTAAAAGTTATATAAATGGGTACCCTTAGGGCAAACTCAAGTCATTAAAGAACTTATACCCACCACTACAACTGGGCTCGTAGTGTTTTCAAAATATTCATAATTAATTATGTTATCTTTTTTAAACCTTATTAAACAATCTTAGATTAAACCTAGTTCACTACTAAGTCCTTAACAACTCCATGAATATATTTGTAATTATCAAAATATTAAATTAAATGAGATCTATTATTATTAAAAGATCATGCTATCACCAATTAGGGGCTTCAAATGAGTGAATTATTATCTTCCTAACTTAAGCCCGCTACTTTAGTATCATCCAATTGAATTGACCTCTAAGTCGTAATAATTTACAAAATTACAATTTTACCCTTGTCATGAAAAGGTGGCAAATTGGTTTCTACCTTTTAACCCATTATGTTTCAATTATTCAAAAGAGTCCACTATGATCAAAATTAACCATTTACCCTTTTGGTTAACCTAAAATTTAATTAAGGCATCAAAATCCAAAATTATTTTTTTGCCTTTAAGGCTTCCCATTTCATAACTTATTAAATCTAACTCAAATGACTTTGAAATTTTTTTAGTACCCCAATCATGATTCAATTAAAATATCAAAAGAGAAAATATGATTTTTCTAATTTTTATTTAATTTATATAATTATTTTAGCTCAAAAATAAGATTTTTAATGTTAATTTATTTAACTAATTAAAGTAAAATTTTTGTTCATGGGAAAATTATTGGAGGTCCACCTAAGTCAGAGTACCACTTGGATAAAATTTCACGTTTTTTCAAATTATATTTTAATTATTATAATTATTTATTAATTTTTAATGATTTATTTAATAGAAAATATGTTTTAATTTCAAACATTAACTTTTATATTTTTATTAAATCTCTCTAAGTCTAGACAACTTAGAGAAATAAAACTTTTCAATTTTGCAATTTTTTTATTATAATTATTTTAATGAAAAATTATGGAAAATACATTTTTTGACATTTAAAAATACATAACTAAATAAAAAAAATTAGGAAAAATGTTTTAATGGGTCCTAAATGATCAGGAAGCAATTAGGAACATTGAAGTCTCCTCAGCTGTTGACTCTGCGGTGGAAATCCATGAGTTGATCGGTGATGGTCAGCACATGATTGACAATGTTGCAGACAAGCAACCAATTATTTATGGGCTTTTTGAGAGACAAGCAAGGGATGCCAAATGTCCTTGGGGTACCTTGAACATAAGATGAATGGATTGGTTGACTACTTTGTGCAAATGGTCATAGATCCTGACAAGAGAGCTATGCACAAGTTGTTGGATCGAGTCACAAATAGAAGGGGAAATTGTTCGGCTGAGTGGTGAGATGATTCTCTCTAAACCAAGCTATTGGCTGCTATAAAGATGAACTTCATGAAACAGATCCAAAATAAGATTGATTAAGTAAACTGATTCAGATTAGGGGTAGAGGTTGCATTTAAAGGGATGCTTCAGCATGGATATGTCTTGGCTAAAGCAGTGAAAGACTCTTTCATAAAATACATTATTTCTGATTGATATGATGTAATGGTTTATTTTTTAAAAATAAAAATAAAAATATTTCCTTAAATTATATTTGATGTCTGGTGTGACCCTTATCACCCCGCTTCTCGAGGTACCAAGATACTGCGACACTCTGACTTCTGCTCCTGATCCCTATAAATGGTTAAGGGCATAAAAGTCGTGACACACTGAACCTTTTTTCTTCGTGAGTTTTACCTCCTTCAAACCCATCTTTCCTTTCTTGTGGTGGCTCTTAATTCTCTCCCTAGCTATTTGAAATGATTCCCGTGAGTGAGGCGTCCTCAATAAAAACAGAGTATTTTTATAGACCCGACGTTCATTACATTTCTAATACCATTGTAAAGCTTCATTTGGCGAGGAGTCAATATTGAGCCACTAGTTAATTTAGGAAGGATCTAGTGTTCCAGCAAGATCAATTCAATTTTGGACTACACTTACCACTCTGCATGAAGTTACGAGCTAAGTTCATTCATTATGGAGTCATCCCTACCCAAAATTTTTCAAACTACATTTCGACAATAATGACCCATTTGGTCTTTTATCAAATAATGGAGATCCTCTAGCTGATGGATTTTGAGCTGCATCATTGCATTCATGGTTAGCCGGGATGGATATGTTTAATTTTTGGCTAGTTAGAGAAGAGAGAGAGGAGGTACATCTCTCATAAGAAAGAGAGTTTCATCCCTAATAAGGTAGGAGCAAGGACAAGCAAAGAAAATGCTTCACCAAATGTCATGAAGGTGAAGATCCCTGAAAAGCCCATGCATTACTCATTCTTATAGCCCCTTGCAACTAAATGATAATGATTTAAGGACCTAGGTTTTGTGTTAAAGGAAAATTCCATTAGGTTAGAAAGCTTTGGATATCCTTAAATCTTTATAAATCTTGAGTGCTTCCTCTAACCTTAGCACATAAACTAATTGGTCAAGAATGTAGCTACCCAGTGACTGTTCGACAACTTCATCTCTTGATGAATGGGTTGAAGCCAACCTGATATAGTGAATGAGAAACTCTTTGATTCTAGTTCCCTAGATTATGAATGCTACGTCTGTGAGAGGAGCCTTCACTTGGTGAAGGCACGATATCACGGAAATGCCTTTCACAAATTGCCTAATAGTTACAGGTAAGCCTTCCATTACGGCGAGTAACAGACATGTAGTTACGACTTCATCAACCCTAAGAACCTAATGAGGTTCTTAGAAAGGGTATGATTTGTTATTGATCATGTGTATGTCGGTTGACTCGTGTTGCATGACATCACCTGTTCCATTGACCTGATCAATCAGGCCGTCACTGGCTTGATCAATTAATCAAACATTTTCGATCAACTTGATTGATCAACCACCATCAACTTCGTCAGTTGATCCATCACCTATCAGTTGACTTGATTGACCAGACACCATCAAATCGATCAGTTGATCGATCCCAACTAAATTATTGCATTAATTACATGTTTTTTGATTTTCTAGGACTACCATTTTCACTCTTACACTCTCACTAGCACACCAATGTGAACTCATGAGCGTGTGCCCTCATATGCTTATCACGGGCATTTACGCCCTTCCACTTGGGCACATTACCCTGTATGCTTGCTTATAAACAACCTTGCACATTTTTTCACATCTTTGCACACCTGTGCTTTTCTTTTACATTTAATCTTGTTTGCTCACGTATTTTGTGCTCATAGTTTGTACATGAGTCCATGGCCTAACACACTCACGTCATTTCTCACATGCCTTAGGCGAGATGCGACTAAATATAAGCTTGTCAGATTTGAGATTCATTTAAACTTCCAATTATGCACTGAAAACTTTCAATAATGGCCTAATCTGAGCTTGGTTTCAGTTAGATTGGCCTAATTTTGATATTATTAGGTCCGTCTTGCCAATTTGGTGAGATTGATTGTAAGTTTGCTGAAATTTGGATGATTTTTAATTGAAGTTTGAATATGTTTTGTTCAAAAAGGTAGCCTCAAGATTTGTGTCATGCCTTAAGATTGATGTCAGATTATAGATTTGTTGATCATGTAAATATTTCATATATAAGTAAGTTTATATATATATATATATATATATATATAACTCAGACCTTTAAATACATAAGAATTGAAGTGGCATGTAACTTTTTTTTTTTTTCTCACTTGAGGGCACAAAATGGGGAGCCTATCAATGACCAGCCCTTTGCTGGCTCAATAGTTCCCTTACAGCCGTCAAGCCGTCAATGGCGTATTCTGGCAAAGAATAAGACCGGTTATGCCAAAACTGCACTGCAAAAAGAAACTTGATCTACTCGCCGATGAGCTCCGCGGATTCTCCAGATGAAGCTCTCCCATCCGATCTCATCCTTCTAATTCTCGCGAGACTCCCTGTTAAGTCCCTTTTCCGCTTTAAATCTGTTTGTAGATCATGGTTCAGGCTCACTTCTGAGAAGCACTTCATTATGCTATACTCCGCGACCTCCTCAGATAAACCCGTTGTTTTGTTGGAACTTATCGAGGCCGCGACTCCCATCTCCAGTTTCCTCAGCGTTGATAGATTCAATACTGTTTCGTACTTTTCGTTGAGTTTTTTGGAAGATAGAGTCAAGGTGAGAGCTTCCTGCAACGGTCTCTTGTGCTGCTCAAGCATCCCTAACCGGGGAGTCTTCTATGTCTGCAATCCGATGACAAGAAAGTACAGGTTGCTTCCGAGAACCAGAGAAAGACCCTTCACTCGGTTCCACCCTGACTACGAGGAGACCCTCGTAGGTTTGTCTTTTGATCCATCTTCATGGAGATTCAATGTAGCCGTTGCCGGATTTTGCCGGCCATTTGGGCGGAGGCCACACGAGGAGCTTGTGTGCATGGTGTTCGACTCAGGAACTAACTCTTGGACTAGGTTTGTTTCATCTCTTTATGATGAATTCACCCACATGAATAGAAATCAAGTTGTTTTCTGCAACAATTCGCTGCACTGGCTTACGCACAGCTGCTCCTTTGTGCTTGTGCTTGATTTGAGGGGTAATGTTTGGAGGAGGATTTCATTGCCGGAGGAGATTGTGACTGTTGAATTTTTTGGAAGAATTTATCTTCTGGAATTGGAGGGCTCTGTCTCTTTGATTCAGATGTTAGGTGTGTGGATGAATATATGGGCTCTGAAGGACTATGACAGAGAGCGTTGGGCTCTGATTGAGAGAGTGCATCTCAGGTGCATTTGGGGGTTTGCTGCAAGTGCTTTTCCGGTATGCTTAAGTAATGACGTAGTGTTCTTGGCAACACAGAGGAAAATTTTGACATATGGCAGAGACAATAAGGTGTGGAAGGAGGCTTTTTCTGTTGAAGACAATGTAGCATATCCTTTGTGGTTTTCAGCACATCCTTTCAGGAGCACCCTATTTCCTTGTGACCAAGGTTTGCAAGTCTAATTCAGTCTTTTTGATAGCCAGTTATTTTTCAAAAACTGGTTGTGCGGTCTTTTGTGTGTGGGAAAAGCTCTACCAAAATCCATACACTTGGAGACAGTGTAGCATATCCTTTGTGGATCTCAGTACATCCTTTTATTAGCATATTATTTCCCTTGTTCACACTCTCTTCTTCCTTTGGCACATTTGAGAATACACTTGAGAGCAAATCCCCCATCCCTTTGAGAGTACGTGTGATTTTCCTTCTAACAGCACAACAAATCTTGGCCAAATGAAGGTTTAATGTTGGACTTTCCTAATTTTTTTCATAATAGGCTCTATAACCCAATTTGTTCCAAAGAAATACTTGGAATTATGGAAATAAAAGAACCTTTTAAAATGACATCTTATGTCTATCTTATATATTTGAAATACTTTTTTTAGTAAAGTTAATTTGAATTTTATTTGTTTTTTAAAGTATAATATATAATAAAATTCTTCTTTATATTGCACTAATAAACTTGGTTTTGTCCTAGTAGATGACTTTATCTCTTCTATTCTTATTTACTTCTATGTGAGTTCATGGGAATTGGGACGTTGTCATACATAGCTATAGTAGAAGCAAAATATAATGGAAGTATGGGTGTTCCAATGCAGAACCAGAAGAGAGAGAGAGTAGAAGAGTCTAAGAAGTAGAGAAATAGAGAGACGAGAAAACCAGGTGTCAATAGGAAAACAAATTTCAATAAATTGTCAGTCATAACAATTTAAAACTTAGGTTAAAGATATTATTAAATATAAGTAGTCCTTGACTTTTCATCGGTAACTCTAATAACACTCGACATTGCATTAGTACCAAATGGCTTGAATAATGCTGAAATTAGTCCAATTTATTTTTCTTTAATTTTGATAAATACAAATAACTAATCAAGTAGGAAAATGACTAATCAGATTAAGTTTATCGTACAAACTTTATCGACTTCCTTGGCGTATGAAGATATCCATCTCCCTAAGGGTACTAAGGCACTCATCTAGAATACAATGAGATATTTTTTAATAACTTTTGAAATCATTTAATGGTGGATGATAATGTAATTGGGAAAGGATTGTTGGGAAATCAAAATTTGGCTTTACTAGCGTTAATGCATAACTCCACTTGCAAGGATATTTTTAAGAAGTTTTGAAATCATTACTGGTGTGAATGCATGACTCCACCTGGAAAGATATTTGTAAGAACTTTTGAAATCTTGAATGTCCTCTACAAGGTTGGCATATAAAATATAAATTAATATTCATGTTGAAAGGTAGAACTAGGACAAACACAATAGGTGCCCGATTTCTAAAAATATAACAAAGCTTTGAGTTTGTGGTTAGTATTGCAATTAGAATGTAGGAACATATAAGCTAGATATGAAGTTAAATGTAATTTTCATTATCACGTTAAACATTTGACTGAACATATATGGCTTGGTTATAAAATTTTCATTTTGCTTGGTAGTTAAATTTTTAATGACAATAATTTAGGCAACAAATTACAAATAATATAATAAAATTAAAAAAAATGCATGTCGAGATAATGAAGGATAACCTATTCTCTGTAATCTTTTTAAGGGAAGGATAATGGATAACTTCATCAAGACAAAGGTCAAGAACTTATGATAAGCTCTTAAAAAATTTCAAGGAATTTACCGGCCATATTAAATAGCTATCACAATAAAAAAACAACATTTAAAAGGATAGACCATTTTCGCAAAGTATATAATTAATCAAAATTTATAATTAATAATTAGTATGATCTATCCACCATTAACATTAAGGAGTCATTGGGCCTAGAAATCAAAAAAACAAGCCATCAATATAAAATCCACAAATATGCAATTTTAATTCCCTATGTTCCATATGGTTCTTCCTATTATATGATATGTTTAATAAAATAGAACCAAATACAAAATCAAGGTGTTCATTATCTTGCATATGCGGTATTTCAACAAATGATTTCTTGAGAGTTGGAGAATAAAAAGATACATCTAAACAAGCAACTTTAGCAAGCATGAGGAGATTTGGATCAATGCAGATTCAAGGTCTGCTTGGGGCATTACAGCTTCTTGTAAAAGTGATTATAAAATTGTGGTGGAGAAAATGATTTATTTTAAAGCTGTTGTTGAAATTATATATATATATATATATATATATATATATATATATACAAAAAACAGACAATTTACATATATTCAAAAAACAGACAATTTACTTGTAGTCATCACACTTTAACAAATCATAATGAAAAAAATAGCTTTCCATCATAGAAATTTGTAGAAAACAAAAAGAAATTATTTCCTCAAATAGAACTATGACAGCTGTCTAAAATACAAAATAGATAGAAAGCTGTCCCAAACATGTTAGAAAATTCATGTTTCAACTTTATACACAAATTACAAAAGAAAAGTACATAATAGCCAAGATCTTTTAAATTCATGATTTTTACTATGTAAAAATAAAGCGACGCATACCTGTATTCATGATGAACAAATTTGATCTTGAAGAGATGGAGTTTCTCTCTCTAATCCCTTAAAACTTTCTGTACTTTCTGATGGAGAGAAATGTACGAGGTGTGTTGGGTAGAGAGAGGACCCATTCTCAAATTCATGCTATATTTAACCACCATCCATCAAGGGGGTTACTAACCAATAGGATTTATGATAATTTAATAAATTAATTGATTTTTATTAATAAAATCAATGACATAAGTTAGTAACATTTATTTATTTTAGGGGTTATAGAGTTACAAAAATAAATATCATAAGTTATCATAAATTATGACATAAGTTATGAGTTAAGAAAATAAATAACTTAAGTTATCAAAATAAATATCATAAGTTGTCATAATTTATGACATAAGTTATGAGTTATGAAAATTAATAACTTAAGTTATCAAAAATAAATCTCATAAGTTATTAAAATAAATGTGAGTCATAAATAAAAATATAACAAGACCCTTAGTTTTAGGCTCATGAGTTTAAGAGTCTGTTTGGGGCAGCTGTAGCTTCTCGGCTTTCCAGCTGCAGCAGCGCTGCCCCAGGAAGCTGGCTGTCTGTTTGTTGCAGCTGTGTGAAAATAGCTGTGGGGTAGCTGTTTATAGAAAAATGACAATTCTGCCTCTGTTTAATAAAACACTTCATGAGATTTTCTTTTTTGTTAGCACGTTTCAGCTGATTCAAAATTTATAAAAAAAATATTATAGAAATACAAATTTTTAGTATATATCATTGTAAAAAGTTCTCTCAATAAATATCATAGCTCCAAACAAGCTCTAATCTCTCCATACAAACTTCAAACTTGCAGAAATCAACACTCAAATATAAAATTGCTTCATCAATTTCTAACAGAAATATGGATAGCGAAAGAGCCAGATCCACTTACGTTCACAAGGGGCATCCTCGATGCTCGCAGCCCCAACAATAGCGGACACCTAAGCAGAAGGAAGCGGGTGGTGCATTCCGTCAGCCTCTCCTTATCAAGGAATTGCGAGAGACTGGGGAGCACGGGACGAAGCTGCTTCGGGGATGCTAGGGCAGACGAGGTTAGTTCGTGCATTCGCTGGACGAAGCTGCTTCGGGGACGCTAGGTCGTGCATTCGCGAGATAGAGCTGCTTCGGGGACGCTAGGGCAGAAGAGTTCGATCGCGAGAGATTGGTGAGTGTGGGGCAAAGGCGGTAAAAGCCAATCGATAACGCGGGCCGCGGGGTCGATTCCGCCACTCGCCTTCCGCCTATTTTAGCGGCTGACCGCCGCGAACGTTGCATCCAAACGACAAATTCTATATCGGCTTCGCGGTTTGGGGCCGCGCTGCGTGAAATACGCAACCCCAAACGAAGCCTAATTCTACTTCATAGGAAATTTTAGTATAAACTTTGGTGCAAACAAACATAAGTGTACATACTGGTGGTTCAACTAAAAAATCATCTTGCAATTGAACACATTGTTCTACACAATCATCAAAATGAAGCTTATGACTTTTTTTAGCCTTAATAAGAATATTTTTATTTGCTGGGGGAGTTAAGAGTGCTAATATATGTGGCATCTCTTGGGAATCGAATATTAAATGAATGACCTTAGGGGACTTAAAGGCAAAATGATAGTTTTTCTAGATTGAGGGTAATCAACAATGCATTTAATAACTTCATCAAAAGTAGATTATAGTAGGTTTGAAAATATATACTTTGTTGGTAATATGCGAGTGACTTGTCATCAAATATTATAATATATTCATTGTCATTTTAAGGGTTATAGCAATTTTCACTCTTATGATGATGCACATTTTATTTATTTAGGAAATCTTCCCTGTGAGTTTTTGTTAGAAGATATTTCTCTTATTTTGGACACTCAATTTGATATTTAGGTTATTCAAATTTAGCTATTCATTTCTAAAATATTAGATTTATTGACCCTATTATTATTGGATCAAAATTCTTTTTCCTATGTTCAATCCCATGGTCACAATAATGCGATGAATTACTTAAATGTAAACCAACAACAGCAACAAAACCAAAAACGACTCCAACAACAACAATAACAACAACAACAAGCCTTTATCCCCCTAAGTTAGGTCGGGTATTTGAATCCTTTTTCTCCATTGAGTCCTATTAAGTGTCATATTTTCATTTAAGTTTAATTGATTAAGATCATTTTTTATGAAAATATGCCCAAGTCATTTTAGATCTACCTTTGCCTTTCTTTACATCAGTCGAAACTAAAACATGTACTCTCCTAATCGGATCATCTGACTCTCTCTAATCTTATCCTCCACTGGAGCTACACCAACCCTATCACGGGTATATTTATTTCGCATTTTGTCTCTGAGTGTCAAGCCACTCATCCACTTAAGAATTCTCATTTCAGCAACACTTAACTTTGTTTTATGCTTCTCTTTAAAGGACAACATTTTGCACCATAGAGCATTGCATGTCTCACCACCATCTTATAAAATTTTCCTTATAATTTAAGCATTGTTTTTCTATCACATAGTAGGCCTGAAGCATTCCTCCGCTTCAACCAACTAACTTGAATTCTACTAATAACATCCCTATCTATATCACCATCACTCTGAACAATAGACCTGAGATATCTATAACGTTCACACCTTTTAATGATTTGATCACCCATAGTTACAACTTTGCCACTAGAGCTACTACTAAAATTACATTTCATGTGTTCAGTTTTAGTACTACTCAAACGAAGGCCTTAGACTCCAATGTAGACCTCCATAATTCAAGTTTTTCATGAGCTTTCGAACTCTTTTTCTAGTCTTATCCACAATAAAAGTATCA